TTTTAAATTAGAAACTAACATAATTTTCAAAATACGATTGTGGAACTTGGCAGTATGAACTAATACGAAAAATTCCCGCAGCATTCCCTTGAAAAATAAAACTGAAAATGATTCCCTGAAAACTAAAGGGAATGTCTGATAAATCAGTAAATAAGTGGCACAATTATTGGTTACAATTCACATCTTGTATCAAAATCTTGGTCGAGAAATATATAAAGTAATTAAGTCCTTTTCTAGTATTGATGATTTGTACTTATTCGTAAGTTGGTACCGTCGAACATTTGGCTGCTTTCCAATACATAACTGGAATGTCGCGACGTTGAACGCAGCAATAAAATTGCTTTAACTTTCAGTCAGATTGTGCTACAGTTTCTTAAGCATACATCAAGAGTATACGACTTTGTGTGGTCGCTATTGAGCCTATTTGTTTTCTTTCATTGTTGTTCCTTTGTTTGTACTAATTTTATTTGCGTTGCCCGCTACTACGCAGTAAACAACTTACAATATAAGGTCGAGGAAAAAGTTTCTACTTAATGTTCTTTGTATAAAATTGAAGGAAAATCTCTATGATTGTACGTTTGTATCTGGCTGTTTTTAATATTGATATATATAGGATATTAAGAAAAATAAAAATAATAAGTAAAAAATACCTTCCTTTCATTTTTCAATTGTTTTTCTGTCCACCAAATTGAGTGAATCTAACGAAGAAATTCAATACATTCTGAAGATTTATTGCAAAAAAGAGAAAATGCAACTCATGCATCGAAAAAAGAATTATGACGTTTATGGATCTAATGCAGTGTAAGTAAGATTTACATAAAGTTGGTTCAAGCGTTTTCCGTCCGGGAATTTTGGTGTCAAAGATACAGCTCGCTCTGGTCGCTCTCATACGGATAAAGTCGTTGCCATTTTTGAAAAAGTGGAGCAAGAAAGGCATACAGTAGCACACTTTTAAGACCTTACGGTTGGTTAACGAATGTACTTGTGCAGAGCAACGGTAGGGGCTCTGCGGGGCAGGGGGTGTTCCGGCCTTGTACTAGCGCACTTCACTGAGTCTGATACGAGTAGATTATATATTATGCGGTTGGCACGAGCGTGTTTTATAGTACTTATTTAACTAATTTTAAGTGCCATTTTGAGAAACATAATATCTTTAATGAGGGCTTACTGTTATAGTTATATGAGTTACTAAGTAAAATTGAATTCAAGTGACGGCCAAGCTTATGTTTATCTCATTTTTTAAAATAGTTTCTAAATACTTTAATATTTAACAATCGAAAACTGCAAACATCTATAAAAAGAAAGTATCACGAAAATTTTGGCAGTGCAACACTTGTAAATGTGTTTTTCTTGTAGTAACAAAAAATGATCTTGTTCAATAAATGTTTTTAACTTATTAGTATGTACATAATATTAGCAAATGATATTGAGTGTTATAATATCCAAAGTTATTTTATTTCCATTTCCGTGATAAACTCTAAAATACACGATGACTGCGTAAATACTTGCGCAGGCGGCAGCATCGCCGGACATCAAAGGCGTTTCAGAACTGTAAGGTCTTTAAACTGTGTTAGTAGTTCCGACATAGCCGAGGAATTGGGGATTGAACATAAAACAGTTTTAACCCATTTAAAAAGTCTGGCCATACAAAAATGCCCGATATTTGGGTACCACAAAAACTCACTGAAAGAAAACTAATGAATCGTGTACTTATGTGCGCTTCTCTATTCATTTTGAACAAAGATTTGCTTATTCAACAGCACACAATGAAAATTCTATACTGTATTATAACTTCATTTTTCCAGCGATTACAATTCTCAGTTCAAAGACACATTATTAAATTATTAAATAAAGGAAATGCCGACATTATTTGCAGTTTTCCGGTTTCATAATTGCTAGAAAGCTCAATGCTTTTTAACGGCTATCGAAGGGAAGCGAGTATTTACTACACAACAAACAAAATAGTTAAAAGCAGCATAATGGTTTTACAAAGCCTTAGAGACAATAATATTTTTTATAGAAATAAGGCACAATTTTTGCGGAGTCATTAATCTTTGTAAATTGAGAAGAAGATGAGAATATATAGTTTTATCCTCTAGCAGCCGCTCAGCCCACTGGTGAACATAATCCCACAAGTAAGCATCCATCGATATCCTATATACCAGCTGGTGTTTGAAAAGAGTGCCATCGTTAAATAGCAGCAAAATGTTACTATGTTTCGTATGGTAAGTAACGGGAATCGGAAACCATTTATTACTGGTAACGAGACATTTCTTTTAATCCTCAGGGTTGACAGTGTATCTGCATTTTGATTATAAATCGAGGATAGATGTACTTATCTATGGGCCACGGCATGTACTTACCGTGTGCTGTGGGCTCGCGTACCACATTTGTATAAAGTAAGTTCTAGAAAGTAAGAAGAAATGTAGTAAGGGTTATCGGAAAGTTTTTTGTTTTAAAATATAACATAATGATGGAAAAGCTCTTTAAATACTTAAATTAATGAAACAATAAACCTGTTTGTATGTATAGTAATGAAGAAATATACAAGCTATTTAGAAAATTTTATAAGTGTCATTCACAAGCATTTATAAATATTAACTTCAACGTTATTATATTTTACCTTACAGAAGATAATATGACGTGTCATCAAAAAAGTTTCACAAAAACAAAATATAAATAGAATTCGAGTCTTACTTATGACTGCATAATTTAATTTTAGTGTAAGCTTTAGCACTTCCAGGTATAGAAATATTTTAAATTGATTGAATGGTTGGTAATTTAGCTTTGTTAATCACTTCAGATTATTATCAACTCATCTCTCTCTATGATATTAAGAGTAGTGTTTTTATTGACGATTAATAAGTTCCATTGGCTGACGTAGCTATGTAGGAATCTAGTATGCGATCTATTACAAGTAGAAATCTAGTATATAGTAGCGTGTCATTCTTTTTCTAAAAACACCTTATTATCGACATCATAACAAGCTGTATCAGCACAGAATGAAGTCTGATTTTAAAATGAAATTTTTGCATTTTAAAATCAGACATTGATTGAGATGTGTTATGATTTCTTAAATTTACGCGAACACTACACATTGAATAAAACTATTATTTACGGATTTAATTATCAGAGGAATAATATATATTAGGAATCGGTGTTCTTTTGCCTACCAATTACCGTTCTTATTCCTACCAAGGATGATACGCGAGGCTATTGAAATTAAAAAAAAATCCAAATTTCAATAGAGAAGATGTATGGGTGCTGCCATCTGCTTGGGATCCTATAATTAACAAAATTAAACCCAAACCCAAGCATACCACTGAAAGACTTCATGGTACTATAAGCTCGTTTTGCGTAAATCGGACCAAAATTAATATTCAAAAAACTGAAGGTAGCCGGACTATGACATTGGGACGTCAAACATCTCAGTCCCCCCCCCCCGTAACCATGGGTGCTGTAAAGCACTCGAAACGTCGGGATAGTAAAAATAAAAGAAAAAACCAAAAATCCAATAATAGTTTTATTCAATGAGATGTGTTATGCGAACGTGATTCTATTAATATATACCAAAGTCAAAATATTATTATTATATGCCTTAATTCAGCGCACTGTAACAGTTCGTTTACCTTTTTGTAAGTTTTCCAGCAAAAAAGCTGCCTCCCAGACTAAGTTTTATGAGCGTGGCCTAATACCGAGATACAAAAGTTTCAAGTTCGCACTAAAACGTCTCCAAAGCTTTTATGGAGCTTTTCCTACGTGTACACTTTCTTAACAAAACTAGTATAAAAGCTTATATAGAACTAAACTATGTTTTGCAGCAACACTTTCTAAGCTACATACTTTTGAAGATAGAAGCGACGAAGTTATAAATAATATAGAAATATAAATTATTTCTATTTTTTTATGAAACTGAAGTGATAAACGAGCTTACAGTCCACATGATGGTAAGTGGATACTAGCCTACGAACAACTGCCTCTAACTTAACATACGAAGGCTACCGTTGTCACCGTTGTTGATACTAGCTTTCTATACGACGGAATCTATCAGACGGACTGCTAGACAGAAATCGTATTTGTATGACCTACAAGTAATTGTTCTGGGTCTGGGTGTTTGTCCTTGTAAAATGTAGGTTTGTAAACTGCTCCCAAGATACCGGAAAAAATTATAACTTAACAAGATAAAAAACTATCTTCATTTGATTCTTAATTAAGAATCAACGTACGTGTCAATAGGCCACAGCATAAATTTACCACCAGGTGGACCGTGCGGTATAAAGATTATATCTATTATATATAAAGATAATAGTGTAATCAAACGTATCAGAGGTCTCCTTATGCAATTGCCAATCAGTCTGTCAGATTTTGCGATTATGGCTAATCTAAGGAGGATTAATAATCGCAAAACTTAACTAAAAGATAAGATTAGCAGTAGACGAACTCATTAAAAAGAGGTTGATAAATAAATAAACAGCCCAGAGACCGATATAGACATTTCCCAAATTAGGAGGCTTGGCGATTGAACTCACTGTTTCCAGAGCATTTTGTCTTGGACTTAAATATACGACATTAATTAGGTCAGACTTTTTTACTGCTGCAGTTTACAAGATTAGTCTTTGCTGCTTCGCCTTGCTGCATTGAGCATCTGATTTACGAATACTGGTAGACAAAGTTTCTTTATAACTTTTTGTTTAATATTAACCCATATGTAGCAATGAGTTTTTATGATTTTTGGATTAAGTGCATTAAGTGCAATTATTCATGAAAATTGGCAAAACACTTGTCATGTAGATTTATACCACATTTTGAACCGCTCCATACTTCTGTAACAAGGAACGCGCAATCGAACGTCTGAACTCCAAAGTGTCAACTTCAGCACCCATTGATCTAGCTAGCAAAGTAGAATTATTGACGGTTACATCAATCATCCACATTATAATGCTAGAATATCATTTTTTACCCCTAATTGCAATTCTGTATGTCCCAACATTGGCATCTAGTCAATCGACTCCACCCGTAAAACGATTATACTGTTGAACTACATAAGGCTGCTGAATATTAACCTTTTTTTTCTCGACTGCCGAATAGCGTTTTGCTTTTTGAATTGGATGAACACCGTATTCATTGGAGAGTAAAGTAACAACACTGTTGTCATTCCAGCGTACAGCACATATTTGGTCGTTAGTGTCCAAATGGTAGTCGTAATAGCCTCTTTGCTGCTTTTTGACAGACTTGACATCCATTAACGGACATTTATCAATCCTATTTTGGCGCATAGTGCCTGTTACCTTGATGTTCTTGTCCTGCAAATTGCTTATAAGAGTTGGTGAGGTAAAAAAATTGTCACAAAAAACTGAAAATTGGGTTTCAGGGGATTCTTTTTGCATAGCTTCCATCATCTTAGTAACTACGTGTTCTCCAAGTCTAGTGGATCGTTGTTCAGATTTTCCCTCATATAAATCTGCATGAACACCATACCCTAGTCGTGTAGCAGCCGTCCAAGCTTTGAATCCGAACCGGCGGCCATAATATGGGATCATTGACTCGTCTATACTGCAATTTTTTTCTATAGGTGCATACATCAAGAATTTTTCATTCAGAAAATCAAGCAATGGTTGAACTTTAGCTATTTTGTCATTTGGGTGCAAATTATTATTGCCTGCTGCTTGAAAATATCTGAATATTTCCCCAAAACGATTGCGGCGCATCGACTTTGAAACAAGAACATTGTGAGTGTCTTCATTTGTTTCCCAAAACATTCAGAATTAAAATTCCTGGGAAACAATAAATATCATCTCCGACAAAGTAAACTTTGTATTGGGGTCCTGGTGCACCACATATATAACAGAATGTCTCACAAGATGCCGAATTACATCTTCACTGAAAAACAACTCAAAAAACTCTAAAGGTTCACTTTCTTTACTCAAAGTTAGTATGGTTCGAGGAGGTGGTTGAATCTAAACATTTTGTGGTAAATTTAAGACTCTCTTGGTCCATCGTCTTGGTTTCTGTTGAAGTAATGGACCTGCGCCTGACCTGCTACTAGTAGTACTGCTACTAGACTACTCTTGACTAATAGAAGGCCTGCCTTGACTGATCGTTGCTTGCCTGAGTTGCTCATTACTTATTGTAACAGCTGGTTGAGACTTTTAAGGCATACGTCGAGTTTTAGCAGTTTTAGTAGGAGAAGAGATTTCGGGTTCACTAGCCTCGATTTCAACATGCTGGTCATCTTTCGATGTGCGAATTACTAGCTCAGCAGGCGCGAGAAGCTGGTGCCGATTCAATCTATCAAAATCGCAACAGTCCTCTTCCCCCGAGTCACCATCAGGAATTTCACCGTTACAGGTGGATCTATATAAACATCTATACCTTGAATGTCTTCCACCTCCTCCAAAGCTTCGAGGTCATCAGCTATTTCAGTAGTGGAAAGCAATCGACGAGACCTGCAAAACGCCAAATATAAGTATCTTATATGCCCGTGGGGTCGATAGCGACCCACCAACATGTACATTAACTTGTTAAATAAATATGATTATCGCAAAATTTTATAAAAAAAGTCTAGAAATATTCTAGTTACATATACATGCATAATTTATGTAAAACAAAGTATTATATAAAAAAAATACTTACATTTTTGCTAGCGCGGGTGAACAATTTTGATGCGAAACAACCCAACTGAATTTTAATTCTAAATTCTGTCAAATTTGACACTCTTGCCGGAGTACAGATAATGCGCATGTATGAAGTAGTACTTTAGATAAGCAGAAGATGGCGCTAGACACAAACAATTTATTACTGTTTTCTTTCGCAACGCATTTTTATCGAAGTAAGTAGAATGGGTCGTTAACAGCCTCCTGAGCACGTATGGCTTAAGGGAACACACAACAATAGGTATAAGAAAATGTTTTTTTTAAGTTTTTATATATTTCTTTACACTTTATTACTCATATTAACAAAAGGGCTATAAAAGACTTAATGCTTTTGTTCGCGACGGCCTAACAACCTTAAGAAACAAAATGATAAAGAATATTGTTTTATGTATTAATAGCGAAATTACCAAGAAAACTGAGTGAAAACGTGTATTAATATAGTTGTTTAGCATATTTACAACTCTTAGTATATTTGTATAGAATGTCGTTTTGATAACAAGTAATGTAAACAACTTTTATTATATACCAAAAAATCGACCAATCACAGCGCGTCTTATCGTAGAACTCTCTAGAAGTTTTTTAATTAACTGCGTAATAGATCATACTAAAAATAATGAAAATAATTTTATGTCCTAAAAGAGTTATAAATATGACATTGAATTAGCATATGGCTTATAGATTAAGAAAGTGTAGGAATATTTTGTATAATTAAACGCATTTCGTAGTTATAGAAAAATTAAAGAATTAAAATGCCCAAATATTATGAAAATTTGGGACATTTCGTTTAATAACTTTTTACAATGTTTATGTTTTTAGTAACCTTTATGATATATTAATAAAGTGTCAGACTACCGATTTAATGATGTATAGCATGTTAGTGTAGCAATTAGTTTTGTATAGAAAATATTGCAATTTATGCCATCTGTATAGTGATAAGTTTATGCAATAAAGAGGCAAAACGGAAAATGGCAAGCGGCTCACTGCAAAGTATTGCTAAAGTCTACCTTAGGGGCTCGGGACCCAGTACCAGTAGTAGTGTGAAGAACTACCAGTGACAAGTGAAGTGAAGTGAGTGGTATCCGGTGGTAGCTGAAGTGACTAGTAGCAGTATATAGTGAATAGTGATAGTGTTAGCTAGCCGAAAAAGGTCGTAACTGATATTCGCAGTTACACATAGTGAAAGTGTTGGCTAACCTAAAAAGGTCGTAACTGACATTCGCAGTTACATAGTGAAAGTGTTACCTAGCCTAAAAAGGTCGTAACTGACATTCGCAGTTACATATAGTGAAAGTGTTAGCTAGCCGAAAAAGGTCGTAACTGGCATTCGCAGTTACATATAGTGAAAGTGTTAGCAAGCCTAAAAAAGGTCGTAACTGACATTCGCAGTTACATAGTGAAAGTGTTAGCTAGCCTAAAAAAGGTCGTAACTGATATTCGCAGTTACATATAGTGAAAGTGGTAACTGATATCCGCAGTTACACAAGTGATAAAATCAACTAGTTTAGTTGATAATAGCTGCTAGTCAGTAGTGTTAGAAAACCAGCTACTACCAATAGATATTTGATACCACCGTACAATTTAAAGAAATCTTTTGAAATATACAGTGACCAACCAATAGTGAACAACCGTAGTTTAACAACCGTGATCAATAGTTATAAAATTTCGAGTATAATTAATCAGTCGAACCGCTGGCCACTACCTTGCTATTTGTATTTATTAATCGTGCATTTTGATTTTAACCACAGTCCACAATATTTCAGCGGCACCAACAAAGACGGCGGTGAGAGAACCCACCGGAACCTATAGGTGTAGGACGTGAGCGACTCGCAAAGTATCTTCGACAACATTTACTCCGGAGAGTTTCGCCCGTCCGGCACATTCGTTGGTCCTTCGAGCCGGATATATCCCTTTGTATTTCGGAATCAGGTAAATAGTCACCACCGTATTAAAACCGCAGAATTTTCAGATTCAAGATGCCGATCACCCGTTCGCAAGGAAGGGCAGCCAAGGCGTGGACCGTCGGTCTGGAAGGACGTTCGTCGGCCAGTAACGCCGCCGTCCACCACCAGATGCCACCACGCTCACCGTCAACGGTAGAGGGTGCTGAGGCGCCATGCTGCCCCCCGAGGGGGGATACCCCTGCCCGCGCCGTCCACTACGGCCCGCACAACGAAGCAGAGGGAACATATAGAAGGCAACGATGACTTTAGCCGAGCATCATCGCCACCAGCCCGGGGAGACACCAACACCGAAGAGCCACCGAGGGGCCACACCGATTGCAGTACGAAGTCTAAGAAGACTGTTCGGCCCAATAGAAGAATTTCGAAGGCTCGTGAAGAAGTATTGAAGATCAAACTAGAACTTGCGCAGATCTCCTTACAGATGGCTGAAGAAGAAGATGAATCAGATGACTATGATGAAGATGGTCACTCCAAAAGTGAGTACGTTCGATCTTGGCTCGAAAACTCTGTAGCCAAACAATCAAGGCGCAATCACCGGAGGGAAGGCACCATTTAATAAAACCGTTACAAAGACGACCCCGGACGTTGTCGACCTCAGTGAGCCCCAAAAGGAGCTCACGAACCAGGATTCCTATCCAGAAGATGCACAAAAAGGATCCCATGCCACAGAAGCTCAGCCAGGAACCCACCGTTGATGAAGACAGGGGGCTCCTACCGAATGTATCAGAGCTCACATACCAGGATTCCTATCCAGCAGATGTACCCAAGGATCTCATGCCTAAGAAACCTAGCCAGGAACCTGTCATAAGTGAAGACAGGGGGCTCCGTCCATTTATATCGGAGCTCACATCCGCTATAGCTGCGCTCGCTGACAAAACAAAGTTAGAGAGTGCGCCACTATCGTCGTATTCTTTCGCAGCGTCGAAAGCTATAGTGACACTGCCAAGCTTTAGCGGAGCACATACCGAGTGGCTTTCATTCCGTGCCATTTACGAAACAACCCGAGGCTACTTCAATGACATTGAAAACACTGCTAGACTAAGACGAAGTCTACAAGGAAGAGCCTTGGAAACAGTCAGCTCGGAACTCATCGGGTATGCTAAGCCAGATGAGATTATGCGAGAACTTGAGCTACAATTTGGGCGTCCAGATTCAATCGCGCAAGCAGAAACCGAGAAGTTACGAGGATTAGCACGTTGTACAGAATCACCTAGAGACATCTGCACATTCGCGAGCAAAGTGAGGGGAAGCGTCGTCACTCTTCGAGCACTAAAGCGAGATCATTACCTCGTCAACGCAGAGCTGCTACGACACCTCACAGACAAACTGCCAAACTCTATACGTGCCCAGTGGTATAGAATCTACACCGAAAAATATGACTCTAGACCAGACCTCGGCTGCTTCAGCGAGTTTATTACCGAACAAGCTCGTTTCTGCAGTGCATTTGCGCCTCCAGAAATTATAAACGAAGCACAAAGCAATCGTTCAGTACATAGAGCACACGCGGCTACTACTAAGCCGTCTCCGAAATGCAGAGTGTGTGAAAAGGAGGGTCACTACGGATCTGAATGTAAAAAATTTAAGGAGGCAAATACCAACAAAAGATGGGAACTCGCAAAGCAAAATAATTTAAGTTTCCGCTGTTGTCAGACACACAAATGCAAAACCAATAAGTGTGGAATAAAAGGATGCACCGCGACACACAATCAACTTCTCCATAATAATACAAAGGAGAAGACTGAGGTCAAACAAAAAAAACCTCAAGAAATCGTAGCTAACTCATTCGCTGTGTCAAAGCATCAAGCCTATTTAAAAATAATTCCACTGCGAGTAATTGGACCGGCGGGAGCTGTAAACACGCACGCCCTGCTGGATGATGGGTCAACAGTTTCACTAATGGATGAAGAGATCGCCAAACAAATTGGA